CCAGGAAGAGGTTATCTGCAGAAGCTGAGAAAACTTATTTCCTGGTTTTGTTTTAAAGTAATAAAACCCGCCTTTAAAGAGCTTCACTGTAGTTCACAACCTGAGTACTCTATCAACCAATCAGATTTATTGTCCTGTTAAAGCACGGAAATGTGTCAGTATCTCTTTCTGCAACAACCCAGTCAAGAAGAAAAAAAGATGGTGTAGGCTACATTTAAAAAATAATATTTCTCATGAAGAAAACTCATCGCTTTTTAAACAACGTTCACATCTTCTGCAAGTCATCCATTCCAGTCTGGTGTTTATTGACACACGTTCATTTCAAAAGGCCTCCCCAGAAGAGAGAAACAGCTTTTGGACTTCTGTATGCATTTAACTCCATTCCATCCAACAATCTTTACCAATTTGTGTACTTAACTCAGTTTATTTATTGTCTCTGACCTGGAGCTCATTAGGAAAACTGTGCTGCAAATGTATCCAATCCCCGTCTGCGTTCTCTCAGTTTTATCTTACGACATGGGACTTTGGGAGGTTTGCATTTTAATTATTACCATAACTTCCTCTTGGAAAATGCAAAACATTTTTCTAGTGAACTAACAGATGTATCGGGTCCATCTGAACGAGCTCGATCCATCGGACCTGAGATTTTTGTCCATTCTTCACGACCAAACGGCTCCAGTTCCTTCAGACTGGATGGGCTTTTCTGGTGCCAATGATCTTTAAATAAATCAACCCACAGATCAGAGTTGGATTGAGCTCTGGCCCATTCCAGAACCTTTAAGGTCTAGGTTCTTCATCGTCATTTGCATCACATGTGGTGCATATGGTGGAACAAAACTGTGTACACAGGGTCCCAGTTACATCCAACAAAAGTATAAAATGTATAAGAAAAACTGTAATAAGATCCAAGATATGAACTAAAAAAATATGCTCAACACATAATAGTGCTAAAACAATACGCCGAACAACAGCAGCACAAACATGAGTCTGTGTGAGCAGTTGAGTACGAATGAACACAGCAGCATGGAATAAATCAGCAGCATGGGATCAGCAGCATGGAATAAATCAGCAGCATGATGCAATTTTTTTCACAGTGATAATCCTGAGTACAGATTCATGAGTCGAACAGCCTCAGGACAGAAGCTGTTCCTCAGTTTAGTGGTTCTGCACTTAATGCTCCTCAACCTCTTTCCTGAGGGGAGCGGGACAAAAAGTGTGTGCTGGGTGAGTGGGGTCCTTCATGATGCAGGTGGTCTTCCTGCATCTGGAGGTGTAAATGTCTGTGATGGTGGGGAGGTTGACTCCAACACACTTCAGTGCAGCCTTCACCACTCTCTGCAAAGCTTTTCTTTCTGCAGCTGTGCAGCCTCCATGCCACACATTGATGCTGGAGCACAGGAAGCGGTCCACTGCACACCTGTAGGAGGTGGTGAGGTTCATCTTAAGCCACTA